CAGAGTCATGCCTCCTCAACAACGGTAATTTCAAATTACATTTGCATTCTCATTTGTAATCTTCCTTGTTTTGTTCAGTATTTTCTTATGTGCAAAATTTAATTATATTCGAATGTTAATCATAATGCATTAAATATGTTTGTCTTGAATTAATCCAATCGTATTCACTCATAAATGTTTTTTTCCTTGATTTATTGATACTTATCTCTTGTTAAATAAAGCAAAATAACCCTGGAGGGAGGATGATGAGAAATATACCAAGAATTTCAAACCATATGCTTTTGAATAAAAACCCTGCTGACGATGTACAAGTATTGTTTCAAATCCCTAAACACCGGAGATATAAGGGAGTGAAACCCTCGTTAACCCCTTTGAGCCTTCGAAGTAGGAGTTTCTTTTCTATTCAGAAAAAAAGAAACCTTATTTTTGAACCCAGGGGCGGGTAGTGTTCAGTTAATCTGATTGAGCCTTCAAAACTCATCAAGAGTGCACATCCAAGGATACAACAATGGTTATCCTTTAAAAGGTTGAGGAAAGTCAAAACTGCAATGGTTAATCTTTGTCTATTAGCAGTGTGCATCAAAAGAGGATGGTACCCCAGTGGGTATCTCTCGCACATCAGGAGGTCAACAAAGGACAATACCATAATGGCTATCCGTCATCTACCATGGACTCAGGCAGTCACAATCACTTCCAACAAATCGAAGAAGACATAAAGATCAACGACTTATTCAAAAAGAAAGATAGAAAAAGCCCCGTTAAGTCGAAACCTGAAAAACAAGTCACTTAGGCAAAAGTCAGGGCATCCCGCTGGACTTCAAAGTTAAATTCAGAGGGTAATTGTCCGGGCAAAATTTAGGGAAAGCGAAAATCACGAAAAGCGAAAAGAGATTACCAAATAAAAATCCTCAGCAAGGAACCAAGTTGTGTGATCAGACACCAAGAATGAAAGAGGTGAGTGACTGCCATGTCCAAGAAACCTCAATGATTCCTTAACCATCATAAGCTTCTCTTGAGAGATGAGTGCTCACATTGGTTTAACTGAATGTAGGACTAGATAACTTCATGGAGAATGGGTGGGCACCAAATATTTTGAGCCTTAAATCCTTTTTTCTAAAACCGTGAACCAGGCCATGTTACAACCTATAAAAGTCCTAACTGAAGCATGGGTTAATTCAAAAGCGAACTATAGCGAAAATAAAGTAATCTGACTCTTAGGAGGCTTGCTAAAACTTTTGAGTTGGTATCACTCCATCTTTTTACTTTGTTTTGTACAAGAAAAATTCGATGTTTCGACATCTTTTCAATATTTTTTTTAAACTTCAAGACAAACATGAGCTTTGCATTAGAATTATCATTCTTAGAATAAACATTCTTTGCACATGAATAATTTCTTAAACATCAAGTGAGCTTCCATAATGAGCATCATATGAAAAGTTTGATTATCCCAATGAACAAACTGCTTCAGAAATGTGTTGAAAAGAAAATCATCTTGAAGAATGATCTTAATCTGGGGCAGACCCTCTACCAACCCTGTCGAGTAAAAGAAGACTAGTTTGAGAAATGATTTGAAGCAGGTTGTTTGGAAATCTTGTTGATTACAAAAAGTATGATCGCCTAGAGGTCTTTGTTGAGCAAGGGTATGTTACTTTCAATTGGTTCTGAGGGACATATTGCTTAAGTATCCGCTTGAGCATGAATTAGTTCAAGACAAGAAACACAGTTATGTACTAGCTTACTTTCAAGATGCAAGTCAACTAAACTGAGGTTATGTTATCTTCAAAACTCCATGAGCTTCTCATTTCTACGTGAGCATGAGATGAAGAAATGGTTTGTCGAGACTCTGTTGAGCAGGGGTAAGTTATTTTCAATGATAATACTTCGTCAAGCAAAGATAAAGGTATCTTAGAGTTTGATTACCCTAAGGGGCACAAAGAGCATGTTGAATACTCTGTTGAGTAAGTGTTTAGCCAATCTGAGGCATTTAGGTCGGGATTTGATCCCTCAAAGTGCAGTCAAACTGGGGCAGTTATGTCGAAATTTGGCAAATCTCTCAGAGAATCCGTTGATCAGAAGAGAATCTTTTCAGAATCTAAAGATGTATGGGCATTCACTCAAGCATGGTTGAAACCTCTTCCAACTCTGGTTAGTCTGGGGCAATGTTATGAAGTTCATAATACTAGGGCAAGTTATCTTGACGGTACAAATCCCAAAAAGTCCTCTCGAGGAAATTTTCTTTAAAGGCCCTACAGACTGGCCAAGGAATTATGCAGGGGAATTCCTCCACTTCAGAGTTGATCAGATAAAGTCCAGGCACAGGCTAAACAACTTATGAATTCAAAGAGCATGTCGGGAAGTCAGGTATTGGAGTTCCTTAGCAAAAGCCAAATTTTTTATCCTCAGCTCATCAAAGATTTAAGTCAGGTTGTTGGCGTTCCTCAATAGAAGTCAAGATCTGCATCCTTAGCAGAAGGCTTCACTCTTTGAGTTCCTATAACATATCTTCACCTCTACACATTTGCATATAGTAATCATCATTGCATTACATTGCATCCTCAAAAGCGTGTAGCATTTCCATTAATATGGAGTATTACGCTAAAAAAATTCTCAAACATGCATTGAAGCATAAGCCAAATTTAAGTCTTTTTCAAGCAACCCTTTCTCCCCTAGTTGAGCTGATGAAACCTCTCAGAAGAGAACTTTATCCATCAAAAATCCCAAGTGGTATTGAAACAACCGGCTGAAAATCATCAAACAATGAAGTCGCCATCGAACGTCTTTTATCCCACATGAAGGGATACGTAAACATCGAGAAAACCTGAGAAGGGAGAAGTCACGGTCCTGCGACCGAGAGATCGGGTAAGAAAGTCTGTTACGTGAGTGGAAGGTATTAGCATCCCACACGCCCGTAGTACTCTATGGTATCCACTCTTGTTATCTATCTTATGGGTGTGTTTAATCTATGCTTACTGCTTACTATTGAGGAAGAATGCATGCAAAAGAAAGGAGAAAAAATGTAGGGAAAATAAAGTTGTGCTCGCTTGGGCCCTACCCCAATGCCTATGTATCCTTTTTGTGGAATAAGAGTTACCATAGTTCGGCTCACATGTTTTTGTTTGTTTTTGTTTTTTATGAACAATGTTAATTCCGCCTTCTGTCACAGCTCGACCTTTGGAGACTCACACATTGGCACAAAAGTAAATTAATATGTCCTTACCTGAAAATGGTTTTGAGTTACACCCACAAGGCAAGATTCCACGTTTGATTGGTTTATGTTTCGTTACCTTAAAAAAGGGTTTAAGTGTGATTAGCATGTTTTATGATTTGCTAAGAAAAACAAAGTTTTAGTTTTAATGCATATGCAAAAGGGGAAGAAAAGAGTCTACGGGAGACTAGCCTATTTCTCTGCCTAATGTTAGCATGCATGTTTTGCAACCTAAAGTCTAACTTGCATCCGAAAGGAACAAGCACATCCTAAGGGAACATGATATAGAAAGCAAGTGAGCAAACAAGCTCGAAAGAGCGCACACATAAAATGGTAAAGAAAAGAAGTGAAATGCTTTAGTCAAGGGGAGCGGATCACCCGAGATAGACAAGCGGAAGTGAAATATAAAAGAAGAGAAATGCTTTAGCTAAGGGGAGAAGATCACCCGAAGCAAACAAGCAGGAATGAGATGAAAAACAAAAATGTGATGTCCAAAGTGGCTGAACACCTAACCAAGCTATAGAAGATCGAGATAGGCGACCAAAGGCAATATGAACAATCATGGAGTGTTAGCATCGACCAATGCAAACTCCTGACAAAGTGTAGGGGTTTGATTGCAAAACCCTTTTCCACTTGACGACTCGATAACAAGAGTAGGCACAACTCCGAAGCATCGTGGTGCGTCATGAGCTAAGGATGACACAGACAAAATTGTGGGGGTCAATTACTAACCCCTTCCCGCTCACTTCCTTTTGAGGACTTATCATCTGTGACATATGCAAGCACAAATGTAAACACACCTGCAAAATACCTACACAAAGGTAGGATTTTAAACAAACCACACACAAGTTGCACACAATGGCACATAATGCGGAATTTCCCTAAACGAGTCTTAAATAAACTAGAGGGGTTCCTGACACGATCAGCAGCGGAGACCCCCGTCATACATCTCTATTCCTACTTATTATGGCATCAGAAAGCAGTAAAAATCCTTCTTCTCATGATATCTAGAAAGCGGTAAAGAAATGCAATATTGAGGAATAAAACAAAGTCGCGGTGATACCTAACGGAGAAGGTCCGTTGCTTCTTCAATGCGTACCAGCAAAGATAAGCCAGAAGCCTCACTAGTAGTCAACCAAATTAATACCTAACGGAGAAGGTCCGTCGCCTCTTCAATGCGTGCAAATAGCTCAAGCAACTTGTAGAAGCTCCACGCGATCAACCAAATTAACCTTTATACTCACAAATCAACAGGTTATCACAAACTTAATGCAAAAGTTATAACACCGATTAATCATGAAAAATAAGGACAAACTCTATTAAATTCTAAAAGAGAACTCCTAAGATCAATTATCGTATGTTCTTTGTTTCATCATATATTTTTATCAACAAAAATCATGACCAAGAGAAATTAAAATGAAGGCCAATCATAAAAGAAATTTCAAAACTCTAAACATGGGGAGTGTGTAAGTTGTATTAGATGTGTAGTGCAAGAATTGGCATAAGGCCCAATTGTAAATAACCCAGCAACCCTTTTTGTTCACCAACAAAACAAGATCACCCAATTATAAATAACCCAGCAACCCTTTTTGTTCACCAACGAAACAAGATCACCAAAAAGTGGTGATACTGGGCCTTAGGGAGTGTGAACGATGATAGGTCAAAAGGATCAAACAAAACCACGATATCTTCATCAAATATTTTCAGCATATTATGGTTTTATTATTATTCAATTTATTTTAACAAATAAATAAAAAAAATGGTACAAATGATGAATTAGGGTTAATTTGACCCTATGCCTCCTTTTGAATGCAAAGCAAGCTCCCCTATTATGAAGCAGCACCAGAAACTCGACCGCACACCACCGTGTATTCAACTTCATACGTGCAGCATCACGTCCTCACCTCTCGATCCATATCATTATCAACTTTTACGTTCGTCATCTTCTTCAACAGACACCTCCATGCTTCCCCTTCTTCGTGCCGTTAACACCGCCAATACCGCCCTCAACCTCTTTTCCGATTCTGATTTGCAACACAGCGCTGCCGTGAACGACCTCATCTCCTTTCAGCCGTGATTTCAAACATTCATTCACACTCACTGGCACTGTGTATCCTCTTCGACCTCGTTTGAAAACGTGAGTTACAGGCTCTGAGGATGCTTCACAGCTCTGGTATGTTTGATCTTCCTTCTCTTCTTTCCAATACTCCTTCACAGTTTCCTCGATTCTTTATTCTTCTACATCTTTGTTGATGTTTCTGATGTTGTTTCTGCGTTATTGTTTGATCATTGCAGAGATTTCAAGACTCTAAAGTATTGAAGTTTTCTGTATTTGTGAAGAAGAGATGTGTGTTGTGATTCGAAGTCGCGACGAAGATGATGAAGAATTCGTGGAAGAACCAATTGAAGAGAAAGGTGAAGATCAATAGCTGCAATAGCAGAATTGTAGTTCTTTTTTCAGAGATAGAGATTAAGATGAAAGAGGGAGCAGAGAAGTTTTGTTTAGAATTTTCTGGTGATTTCTTTAGAACGTGTGAAGAATATGCAGAGAGAATTGAAAGTGATGATTTTTGTGATTGAAGTTCAGAGAGTTTGTTGAAGATGACAGGAACATAGAGAAATTGTCGCTTGATGATGGTGATTGGAGATGTTGATGAAGGTTGAATCTGTGAGGAGAATGATGATGATTGAAGGCTTCGAGAAGATGTGAAGATGATGAGGGATTTGTAGAGGATAATTTAGAGGTTTTTCAAAGTGTGTGAAGAATGAAGAAGGTTGAAGATTCTGCAGGAAGGTTGAAGGTGATGAAGGATCTTAAGGAGTTACCGTGAGTGTTCTGCCCTCCCCTTTTTCTTATTTTATTTTATTTTCTATATCCAATCCTCCTTCTAATTCGTGAATTTGTTCTCCTCAACCAATGTTTGTTATGCTGTTAAAAACTGAGTTGGCATTCAGTTAGAGTTCTGTTTTGATAGTTGGTCAGAGTTTCTGTTATATCCTGTTAGAGTTAGTTAGGTAGTTTGAATTAGTTATTCGGTTAGAAGTTTATTAGTTGTTAGTTTGAATTATGTTTGAGTGAACTCGAATATTCTATTTATTGCTGTTATTTCCTGATTTAATTCTCCTTCTGATTTTTTGTTAAACTGGAACTTCTTAATATGCCAAAACCACTTTGTATATCTCCGCCATATACATCATAACTAGCAAAACTGCAGGGTTTTTAAGGGACTTGGAATTTCTAAAACCATCAATATGCTTTATCCTCTCCAATAACTCAATGTCAGAAGGACTAGCATATGGCAGACCAACCATGGGTATGCACCGACCCATTCAATCACTCTAGTTGATACCTCCAGATAACTTTGCACCAACAACATTAAGGATTACTTCCCCTGTATGAGATACTTGATTCACCTCCGAATTCACACCTGATAGAGAATAAATGGTATATTTGTGCTTGGTGTACGTTAGTTTGTATGACATTGTTTGGAATTATGCAAGTTATGACATGGTATTAGCAATGTTTGGCATGGTTTGAAAGAAATTTTGTACAGTGACATGTTGCTTGGTTATAGTTTGTAGTAGCATATTTGTGAGTCGTTTGGACTGGAGGACAACAGGGCAGTTAATAGAATAAATGGCTAGTTTTTTCTGAATGCAAATTTTGTTGATGTGCAGCATGGCTGCAATGGTTTAGCAATAGCTCTTGAGCATGAAGATGAAGAATGAAACAGGGGAAGAGATAAGGCATAAAGAGTGATCCTTGGAGTTTGAAGAATGATAGTTAGGACAAGGCATTGTGCAACCTTAGTAGCTTAGCACCTTATTAATTTTGTGTAGTTGTTTCTTTGGAATGTAATATGAGTTTGTCATGGTTGCAAGTGTAAATGAATTTGGATTTTGTAATGTTTTGTAACGGAATTTGAAATGTATGGAATTTTACTTGGATGAACTTTGTAAGGACCTTGAATGGATTTAAATGTATATGGATGATTCTTGATTTTTTGCAACTTGAGTGAATATTTATAGTGAACATGAACCTGAATGAAGTTGAATAGCTTTTGTAATGAAATGATTAAGTGTTGAACATGATGAATAAGGTGAAGATGATTATGATGAATGAATGCCTTGCACTTGTACTTTAAATTACAAGCAATCCATATGAATTTACTTTCTAAACTTATCGTGTTTGAATCTTGAGAAGCTCTGATCTGATTGAATATTTTGCACTTAGAGCATCTTCATATAAGTGGACTTTGCAAGCTACGTGCTTGAATTGAGTGAAAATGATTCATAAACCAATACATTGGATATGGTTGCCTCCATGCCATGCTTAATCAATGAACCTTAATCTCAAATCCATATTAAATTTCTCTATAAGCAATTGAGAGGACAATAATGCCTTGATCATAGTGAAATCACCTCTTCATCTTTTGTACCATAGCCCATATCTTTTGATCCTCAAAGATATATTGACTTGGTGAGCACATAGTAGGAATGCCTTGAGGAATCTTTTGATGAAGAAAGATTTGAAGTATAAAAAGAAGCATGATCACCAAACAATTCTTGACATGAAACCCTAAGTAAATACACCTCAGTTGATGAATAACACAGTTCAAGCATGGTGAAGAAGAAACCATGATTATTGCTTTGGATACACATTGATAATGAAGCATAACAAGTTAAAACCCTAACATCCTGTCCTGATTGTTGAAGAAACACCTTGAATCTCTTGAATGAAGATAAGAGCCTCAAAGCCGTAAAGAAACCCTAAGTCTCAATATCCTTGATTCTCTGCCAAACTGTGGTTAGTGAATGTATGAGGTGTTAATTGATCTAATGGAGGGTATGCAGATGAAATGAGAACGAAATGCATAAGCCAGATGATTTCATGAAAGGGTAGGACAAATTTGAGATATTACATGTATTACCCGCATGTTTTACTTAATCATACTTTCTTATTGTTGCTATCTGCAAGCATTATTGACCTCATGTCATTCAAATCCATGATTCAATTCATTTACCAAACGTCTTGCTCTTGCTGCAGTGTTTTTGCCCATTGTTTTCCTTGATAGTTTGAGTGCGAGTTAGAGTTGGTGAAAACCTGTCTTTCTTCTCAATTGTTTGAGTATCCATACTATGTGTGGAAATTCAGATAATTTCCACTCTTGAAGAATTATACCCCCGTCTTTAGCCTGAGGGATGATGTAGTTCTTGAGCTTTTGCAAACATCAATACCCTTTTAAAAGCCCAACTTAGGTTGGCGGTCCCTGTCCAGAGTCCCTTTCGGCTGGTCTCTTTTCTTTGAAAGTACGCCTTCGATCGACATTCTATTCAGAGTCAATGTCTATTTGTATCCCCAGTAAATTCGCCTCCGATTGACGTTTCTTCGCTAGAGCCTTCTTTGATCGATCTCTTTCTTGTATATGTCTAACTCTGGCCTGACATATATCCCCGTTATCATTGTTAAGAGTCTACCTCCGACTAGTCTCTTCTATCTATATGTCTTCCCTCGGCCTGACATACATTCAACTCCCGGTCTGTCAAATATTTTTCTTCTCCGATCCTAAATCATGAGTCTATCAATAAATTTTCTCTCCAATCCCTAAATCGTGAATCTTCTAGTTTGTTTCTTCTCCAACTTCTGAGTCGTGAGTTTGCTAATTCGTTTTCTCTCCAACTTCCGAGTCATGAGTCTGTTGATCTGTTTCTCCTCCGATCCCTGTATCGCGAGTTTACTAATCTGTTTCTCCTTTGATCCCTGTATTGCGAGTTTACCAATCTGTTTCTCCTTCGATCCCTGTATCACGAGTTTACCAATCTGTTTCTCCTTCGATCCCTGTATCACGAGTTTACCAATCTATTTCTCCTTAGATCCATGTATCGTGAGTTTACCAATCTATTTCTCCTCCAATCTCTGAGTTGTGAGTTTACCAATTTGTTTCTTTTCTGGTCCCTGGGTCGCGAGTTTACAACCCCTGAGTTGTCGTTTTATTTTCCTCTGATCCATGTATCGCAAGTTTACCAATTTGTTTCTCCACCGATCCTTGTATTTGCGAGTTTACTAATTTATCTCTTCTCCGATCCCTGAGTCGTAAATTTGTCATTTTTATTTCCTCTTCGACTACTGAGTCATGAGTTTGTCATTGTATATCTTTTCCGATTCTTTAGTCACGAGTCTCCAACCCATGAGTTGTCACTATGTTTATCATATACTCCCCAACATTTGTTTTTTCAACTTCTGTTTATCGCTTATGTTAATGTTTATTCTCTATCTGTGGCACGAGAAGTCTTATTCCCCAGTGAAGTTCATATTCACCTTTTCGTAGGTACGCTTGGTTAAGTATCCTTTCCATTTTCACCAGCCTTTTGTAGATAGGTGACACAATTACTCTTTGCTATGTGAAAACCCTACGGGAATATCATACCATTATTCACCAAAACTTGTTAGTGGAGGCATCCAAAAAAATAGTGCATCATTCATCCGTTTGTCAGAGCGCAAATTTTCAGATTCTTTTAGTATTTAATATTCTTCTACCTTGAAGGCTCGAAAGGCTAGCGCCAATCTCACCTTCAGTTTTAAGACGATTAAATAGGGGCATCTGTTGCACCCCAAAATTTTCCCTCCTAATTTTACTTTTATCTGGCTCAGGCTTTTGCGTTCATCTACATATATTCCATTAGATCGTCAACATACACACACATCCATAAAGTATTTTGGTTCAAAAGGATTGGCAATATTAAAGTTTTACAGCATTTGAGGTGTACATGTCCCATAAAGTCAGATTTCTCAGATTTCTTCTACAAGCAAGTGAACTGTGAAAATTAGGGTTTTTGATTTAATCAGGAAATCTCTGACTTTTTGGGAAAAAATGATTCCATGCCTCTCTACATGTTAATAAGGATCTATGATTGAAGGATTGAGTTCCATTTTTGATTGGAAGAGGTTCAATTTACAAAAAAGGGGCAAAACAGTCATTTTTGACTAAAGTCAACTGTTGATCAATGGGACTTTTGGTCAACCATCAATTCAATGTCCCTATTTTCACATTTAATAAGCAATGGTGGCATAAAATA